TTATGTGCTGCACGTGCGTGTGTGTATGCACGTCACAATAACTGATTAAAAATGTATAGGTAACTTTGATACACCGTACAACATCGCGGAAGAAATGTATACCTCTTCTTTATTTTTCTATTTGTAAGGAAACATTGATATTTTAGAATGATTATCGTCAGATTTGTGAAAAGAATTCATTCCACTCAAATGAAGTGATAACAAAAATATATTTACTTTGATATGTTTTTTTCGCAACTCCACGAAAAAAACGCACAAATCCGCTTTTTGTCTTAATTGTAGAGAAAAGACTATACTTTACGATGGTTATCAAAAAATTTACGAAAAAAATTTATTCCATCCCGTAGGATACGTCACATTGTACAATTTTTGGAGACGCAACACGTCTTTACTTGTGAAAAGACTGCGGAAAGGGGAGAGAATAATTTCAAAATATCTGCTCCTTATGCCTAATATGCTCCTTAAAGTACAGACTTCACTTTTGAAATAAAAAAAATTTTTCAAATACGATAATGTTTCGCGCTATTATGCTTATTAAAAATTGTGCGACATTTCGATATAAATTAACCTATGCGATAATTTTGTTGACAAATGTATTTTATGTGCAAAAAGCATTCCATTTAATGTAACAATTAGTTAAGTAGTAAAAGTACATACACGTGAGAAGTAACACGCGAGCGTCGAGATATAATAAAAAGGCCTAGGCATGATTCTCGCCGCTTGCAGTATTAACTATAGTTATAGGTCGAGAGAGAGACGGCAGCTTGTACGTCTGCACTCTTCCATTGCCCGAGCCTGGCCGAAGCGCCAAGCGCTATAGTTCGTGACAGGCAGCCCACATATACACAGTTCTTCGCTTGTGTGCACTGCGCCGCACGCACTATAGTTACGCGTACTCGGTCCCACGTGTGGCAGCTCTGGTTAAAGCCATTGTTCAGGTATTATTATTATCGATTATTCGATCATCGTTGTTCCGTTATCATCCATTCGCGAATATTATCACACGATTGTCGAGAAGATATTATTATCACTACTATTTAATATTCGAGTATTATTACTTCTTTATTTGATTATTATTTAATTTATTCGGTTATTATTTAATTATTGCTATTACGCGTAGGAAAGCAACTCGGTCGTGTCGTTACGACGATTTCTTTGCGATTTCTTCGTCTTTGTTTAGTTATTATCGTCGTTGCGATAAACAGTTGTGTGGGCTCTGAAGAAACTATATATATATATATATATATATATATATATATATATATA